CTCCTGGTCGGGGTCGGGGCGGGGCGAAGAATGCGGGGCCGGGGCCGGGGGCGTTCTACCTCCACCCACCCCCGACCCGCCCCGTTGCCATCCCTAGTTGAGCCCCTTCATCCATTTTTTTTCTTTTTCCTTTACCAGATGAGTGGGCATCTTTTTTTTCCCTAAAAGGGGCCGAATGTGAGTGGTGGAGCACCACACATACATGGGCCTTAAAAGTCCACATGCATGATTTTTTTAATATAAATTATTTTTCTAATAAATTTTAAATTTGTATGTATAAACTTTATACATACAAAGTTTGTACGTGTACAAATTTTATATGTATAAAGTGTTAAATATGTGATCCGAATTTCAGGCCCACAATATATTCGAATTAGTTATCTAATAGGATTAGTTATCCAATAGGACTCTACTTTATAGAATTAGTTTTCTATTAGGACTCCTAGATTTCTCCTATATATATATCCCTTGTAAGCCGTACGGGGAGGGTGCGACAACTCAATGTATCCCGTATCGAACTCCACAATAGTGATCATTGCCGGTCCGCGCCCGTTGTTTTTTCCCGCAAGGGTTTTCCACGTAAAAATTCGTGTCTCCGTTTTGCATCTATTTTCATAACAAGTGGTATCAGAGCATTGGAGATCTGTTCCGCAATTCACCCGCTGCCGTGTTTCACATCTACGTCGTTTCGCCGGTTCGGCGATATCGATCTTCCCCACGCTGTTGTCAGGAGTTTTCGGCGAAAACGACTCTGCGTAGTCGAATCGATCTGTCTCGCCGAGATCGATCTTCTGCCGCCGCATGGATTTGTTGGCTCATCAAGTCCGACGCGGAGTCGGTGTTTTTGTGCGAGGATAAAAAGGCGATGCAGCAGCCGTCGTCCACGCCTACGCAGCCGCACGCGTCGAGGAAGCAGCAGCCGGCCGGTGTCATCCTCGAGCACACACAGGTGGAGAAAAATCAGAAGCCACCGAGAGCCATTGCTTCTGTTCTGATCACGTGAATTAATTTTCACGGTTGGAAATTTGTGGCACACGGAGTTTACCAGGAATTAAAGTTCTGTGCATTGCTTGGTTCTGTCGAGGTGAATCCAAATTCACTTTCAAAATGGCTATATTTGCAAGCCAAGTTTACTAAGAGGTTCTGCACGGGGATCAAAATACTTTGTTTTATGCAGCTAGAGTGTTTCGCGTTTCTGCTAGGGTTTTACAAATTATACCAGCAGATTCAGGATTTTATTCTCAAGGCGAGTTTGAAGTTTGATCTACCGCTCTTGGATTGAGATGCAATATTCTCATTATGGTAAGTGAAGTTTTATTATGGCAAGTGAAGTTTTGCAGCGGGGTATTTACCTAGGAGGAGAAGTATGCTGAAAAAAAAAAGAGAAGCACATTCAAGTCGTCGAGAGGGAGCCTCGCTCCTGTCTAGATCACATGGTGATCAAATTGTCCGGTGAATTTTGCTACCATTGTACCCAACATACCAGGATGTTATCGGGGATATAAGTACTTCGTTTTGTGCACAACAATTTTTCGCGTTTCTGTTTGGATTCCAGATATTAACGCCAACAGATTCATGATTTTATTCCCATGGCGAGTTTGAAGTTTGTGCATCAGTTTCACGTCTCTGCTGGGTTCCACAATATCATACCAGCAGATTCAGGATTTCTTCCCAATGACGAGTTTGAAGTATGGTCTAACTTTTCTGGATCGAGGGTGTTATAGTATAGTCATGCAGACTATTTGGCGCACATTGATTTTATCATCATGAGGTTCTTCGGAGATTGAAGATTTTTATGCTACAAGAGAAATTCGTCTCAAGGTGGAGATTGTTAAATATGTGATCCGAATTATGGGCCCACAATATATTCGGATTAGTTATTCAATAGGACTCTACTTTATAGGATTAGTTTCCTATTATGACTCATAGATTTCTCTTATATATTTCCCTTGTAAGCCGCACGGGGAAGGTGCGACAACCCAATTTATCCCCTACGTTTGTATCGAACTCTACAATAGTGATCATTGCCGGTCCACGCCCGTGGTTTTTTCCCGCAAGGGTTTTCCACGTAAAAATTCGTGTCTCCGTTTTGTATCTATTTTCATAACATAAAGTTGTATGGCTTTATACATATGTATTGACTTATTTTAATTAAATATAAAGTGAATATATACTTTGTTTTGCTTATGCCAATGTTAATGTACAATTTATCGGGCTCAAGGCTCAATGGGAAGAGAAACCTACTCGGAAGCGATCACTACTGTAGGCGCCCAAATACGCGTGGCCCATCCAATCATGCGGATTATAAAGGAAACCCTTTCTCCTCGACGGGCAAGTCTAATGGGCGGGTGATCTCTCCCCTCTTCCTCCTCCCCTTCTTCTCTTCTTACTACAGTATACCAAAAAAAAATTTTAAAAAAAAGTTAAAAAAATTTATGTATAGAAATACTATATATAAAAAATTTGAATTTAAATTCAAATTTGAATACTTTTTACTTATAAACTTTGGGTCTATAAACTTTAGGTGTCTAAACTTTAGATGTATAGAAATACTATATATAGAAAATATTTGAATTCAAATTCAAATTTGAATCAGATATAATTCAAATTGAAATTTGAATCGGGCATGTAAACTTTTGACTTATAAATTTTGGATCTATAAACTTTAGGTATATAAACTTTAGATGTATAGAAATACTATATATAGAAAATATATAATTCAAATTCAAATTTGAATCGGGTATATAAACTTTAGTTCTATAAACTTTAGTTCTATAAACTTTAGGTGTATAAACTTTAGATGTATATAAATACTATATATGAAAAATATTTGAATTCAAATTCAAATTTGAATCAGATATTTGAATTCAAATTTAAATTTGAATTAGATATAATTCAAATTCAAATTTGAATCGGATATATAAACTTTTGGTCTCTAAACTTTAGATGTGTAAACTTGAGGTGTATAAACTTTAGGTGCATAAATTTACTAAAATAGAAAAGTAATACGGTGCCAAAAAAGGAAACTTGGTGGAGGGAGGGAGGGGGAGGAGGGGGGGGGGGGAATCTGATTGCTCTGGGCGTCGCCCACTAGCATTTCCGCTCCTCGACATCGGACTCCGATGTCTTCTATTATCATGAAAACAATTTCCTTCCTGACTTGTGTTTCCTTCCACACATTTTATTCCCATATTTGAATATATCTTCAATCTAATATCAGGTATGCGGTATTTCTATGTATTATTATGAATCCATGTATAAAATATATGCTTTATCTGTAACACTGACACTCAAATGTACGAGTAATTATTCTTTTGATGGTAGGTGACGTACATATGTCGATCCAAAATTATTTACCGATGTTCATTAATGAGAAAATCCAAAAAAATGTCATTAACAAGCGTCTAATTGGAAGAAATGTCATTGAGAAATGCGAGTTCCATGAAATGTCATCATACAAGTGATTTTGTTCTAGAAATGCCATCACCATTAGGATTTCGTCGGATGCAGGTCTAGTAAACGCGGAGAACACTGTTTGAACAGTGATATGTGTCTTGTGCTACAATGCTACAGTAGCAACAGTGCTCAAATAGTAATCCAATTTACTGGTGGATGATTTTTTACTGTAGCGTGATACTGTAGCAGCTGATATGTGCCGTTCGATAGAGATCCAATGGCTCAAAATATGAGCCAATGCAACTTATGTACTGTAGATCCTCTGCATTTTACTCTTCAATGCAGAGGATCTCAATCCGGTTTCGTCCATCCCACGCCGTTAAATATACCCACCTTACCACTGAACAATTAATAAATGGTTATCTTTAGTCTTTTTACACGAGAAGACTAGGCGTCGGGTGCTCGATGGGGTGTGGAAAAATCTGGCGCCCACGTCATGCTGATCTCAGCAAGATGCATGCGTACAAAACCACTTTAAACTATTTTTTCTCTTAAATTATTTATCTAAATCATGATCCGATTGCATCGTTAAATTCGTTACAATTAAATCTTTAAAACAAGACCACACACGAATATATTCCGATGAAAAAAATATTTAGCTTATTATTGAATTATTTTTAAATGTTGCACATTGTTGCACCAAGTATATCGGAATCGTTTCACTAAGTAGATCGAAAATGTTTCAATCGTTTAAATCGGGCGTTATTTCACCTTATATAAAAACAATGTTTCAGCAAATAGTAAAAGAATGTTTCAAGTCACTGCAACATTTGATCCATACATAGTGAAACATTACAAGTACACTAAGTGAAATATTTTTGGTGGAAGAAATCATGAAACAAATTCTCTTAATAGAGGGTTTCCATAATATATGGGTGATTTGTTGCAAAAGAATGTCCCAATTCACTGCAACATTAGATCTATGCATAGTGAAACATTGTGAGTACACTAGGTGAAACATTTTTGGTGGAATAAAAAATGAAACGAATTCTCTTAATATAGGGTTTCCAAAATATGTGGGTAATTTGTTGCAACGGAGTATGTGGTGGGGACACGTGGCAGATGTTTACAGGGGCACACATGGTGCGTGGTGGGCTGGCACGGCATGCGCGCGTCGTGCGGCGGGGGAGCGCCCGATTTTTTGCTCCCCCGCCAGTTGACCGATCCCTGACGTTTCCCCTTTTTATACCTCTCATTGGTCTTAAAAACTCCATAAATTTATAGTTGTATACTAGTATATTTTAAAAGGAATAGAGTAAACAAAAGTGGTACAATTATTCCGTAAAAGTACATAACCATTCTATCATACTAGTAATCATGCACGTGCAAGACACGTTATGTTCAATATATAAATTAAACCCAATATATTATAACCCAATAATCTGAAAGAAGAATAGGTAAATAGGAAATAGATCATAAGAAAGAGGATCTGCTTCAATCACACTTGAAGCTCTAACTATTCCCCGCTGACTTATGCACAAACTGCACAATTTTCATAAAGTGCATGCATATATGCATTCTGATTTTCATATTAGATACAAGAATTTGCTCAAAAATAAATATGATCTTCAGCCAATGTGCAGAGGTATGCATAAGCCAATGTGCAGAGGTAATGTCTGAGAAAACAATGGAAGAACATTAGATTGATATCTCAAAGGAAGAAGATACATAGCACAATAAATTATTGAAATGGAAGTGGCCACTAACACTAATTATATTTCATAACAGCAAACACTACATAGCATAAACCAAAATCCATAGTTTATCCCTTGTTGCCAGTGCGCTCCTTTTTTGGCAATGGCTCAATCACCACTTCATCATCTTCAACTATCACCACTTCTGGTTCTCCTGGAGCATTATTTTGTTCTGCCGGTTGCAGCAGCTCTTGGTTCCTAAAGTTCACACCAATCTTAATGGCGTCATGCAGGACTGGTTCTTTGAACAGGGAGTTTCTCACCTCTGCATCCATTAGAACAAAGATTACAAACAAAATATGCTAGAACAACAAAAATAACAGTGTCCTAATCAATATTAGTTTTAGAATTGCACTCAAAAATAAATTGGAATTGACTTACTTGGAATCCATCAAAGCGACCTTTCTAACACTGTTTGGAAAATTTGCATAATGGTCTATAGGACCGACATCAGACACAATGGCAGCAACATCTGTACAAATGTAAACATGTTTCAGAGTTAGTTTCAGCAAGAAAAGAACAAACACAATATACACTTGTGGTTCGATATACCATACCAACAATTGCGCCATTAGGCAGACTGAAAACTTCAGCAAAAGTCATAGCTGATTCTTAGAAGAGAGACCTTACTAATGATCTATGGAAGAGGAAAGATGAGAAGAAATGCAGTGGTGATGTACTGTACCGAAGTAGTGGGATTGGGGCTAGCTTTATAGGGGGGACAGATTGGGAGTAAACAGCGCCTTGCGTCCGCGGCGCTCCAGTGATCCGTTGGCCAGAAACGATGCTTTCCTGTTTTACAGTGTTGATAACAAACCTTCCACTGATGAACACTTCTTGAAATACACAATTAGATTGAACCCCAAAAAACGCAAAGAGTAATTTGATATTACAAATTGATTCCACGGGATATTACCAGGTGTGGAGGAAGACATAGGTGTGGAGGATGGCACAGGCTGAAATGATGGCTGACAATTTACAGTTTGGCTTCCTTCATGCAAACTCTGATTCAAAACTACAATTCAATTGAATGTGCCCAGGTTTTAGCATTGTTTGCCATAAAATAAGCTTGACCATAATAAGCATCGAATGAATATATCATCACCTGTGCCCGATGTAGATGCAGAATTCTTCCTCTCCCTGTTTTCAGGGTTCCTTTGAACCAGCGCACCCTTCTCCTCAACGCTGAGTGCCGTGTACCGCTCTCGGGCTCGCTGACTTTTTAATTCATTCGCAGTTAGTTTAGAAAGGCCGTCCATCGCAAGGATGTACAACCTTGAAGAACACACCATGAGCATATAAAAGCAGTTTTAATATGCAACAGGTTTTCGTTAATATTGATGACAGTCCGCTCGCTATAACAAAATCCCAAATCCACATTTTCTAAGCATCAATTAGAACCTACATGTTACAGAATAACAGGACCTACTGAAGACTTTTCATTTTCTAAGAATCAATTTGAACCACGTTAATCAGAACAACCGGAAATAACTTTTTCAGCTTCAAACTGGAACAAAAATATTTACCAAGGTAGTATAATGGTCCATAATTCACATTTCTTGTAGAATAGAATCATCGACAGTATTGTACCTGAAAACAATATTTGCTCGAAGGGAGTGTGTGAGTTGCTCCCAAGTCCCAATAATCAAGCAACTTATTAAGTTAAATGAGATAAGTACCTGAAAACAATATTTGCTCGAAGGGAGTGTGAGAGCTGCTACCAACTAAATCCCTTGTGTGAAATTGTGAAGCTTCTTCCTGCACAACAGTATAGCATCACGCCTGAATCTGTACGAAATATGAGCACAGTGATGTATGTGCAGTTCATATTAATTTTGTTAAAAACAAAGAGAGGAGAACCATGAAGCAATTATAACCTTGCACTGCTGAAACTAGAAACGTTAAGACAAATGGAAATCAAAACATAGGCAGTCTGTTAGTATATTCTATGGCCTGAACTAAGTTCATATTGTCTATTTTTAGAGCTGACATATATGGAGGACAAACAGAAAAAAAAATCCATACTACCCACATCGTGGGGAAAATAATACAAGGCCCATTGCAAGCACAATTTCAGAGAGTAATTTCGTAAGCATTGCAAATCCAAGAACAAAAACATTGATATTTGAATGGCCAATCCATATATTGCATAGCCAAGCTCATAATGAACACAGTGATGTATAGAATGGTGATGCTTTACACAAACCACACAGCAGAGGGAGAGGAGGATGGCAGTGAGCTGAAGGGGAATTGTTTGGCAGTCAACAAAGAAAGACCATCAAATTGTATAATTGAATGATGAATCGAAGCTGCAAGATAGAGTCTGATTACCTGTACGTCTCAACGATGTTGAGATTCCCTCCTGTTGTTCAGCACCTAGGGTATAGGCACATTGGCCAAGTACAGCAGCATGACAGGAGATGGGCAGCGGAGCGTGGCAGCAGAGACAACGTCGACGATGGCGACAGGGACTGTGGCAGCGTCGGATGGGGAGGACGTCGGCTCCGGCTGCGGCCGATGGGGAAGAGGCCGGCCGCGGCGGTGGGGAAGAAGGAGGAGGCGGCGGCGGCGGCGGATGGGGCTGAGGTCGGCTCCGGCCGCGGCGGTGGAGAAGAAGCAGGATCCGGCGGCGGCGTCTCCGGCGAGGATGCGGCGGAGCGGCGACAGAGGTCCTGCGAGGATGTGGCTTCAGTACACATGGGGAGGAGGAGGAGAAGCGAGCGAAGTCTGCGCGCGTGGAGGAGCGAAGTCTTCGCATCCTGCGGTGGGAAACGAAATCGTGCGGTGGTGAATGAAATCGCGCGGATGGACAGTAGGGATTCATCCCAGTAATTTGGCTTGTAGAATTGGAGGGGGGCAACTCCTCCAATTTCATAGATATATATTAGTATAGATATAGATATAGATGGTACTTCCGTAATTTCATTCATATATAGAAGGGCAACCGCTAACCATCACATCGTCTAATGAAAATACACCCCCTTCTTTTTACTAGAGCTCGATCAGGCTGGGCGCTAGGCCAAAACCTGCAAACTTAGCCTCGGTGATGGCGTCGATTCGTTGCGCCATCTCCGGAGACAGATGGTTCGCCCAGTCTCCAACCTCTCCACGCCGGAAGAACGCGCTGTTCGGCACGGTTGTGGTTGTGAGCTGCGTGCGGCCACCCTTGGTCGCCTCCAGGCCGACCATGTTGTCGAACGAGCACAGCCTGACAATGGCGTCCACCGCGCCGCCGTCTTCCTCCGGCGAGGTGAAGGGGACCCCGGCGAACTCCGCCAGCCTCCGCACGTGCCCCGCCGGGTCCCGCTTCATCTCCTCGTACCTGAGGAAGAGCACCCGCTCGGGGCGCTCCCGGTGCGCGCGCCAGTAGCCGAGGACGTGCTCCCAGTACGGCCCGAACGGCGACACGCCGTCGCAGAAGAAGCCCACGGCGGCGTCCACTGCGACGAGCTCCCTCCCGTTCCGGGACTTGTACTCGTTGACGAACTGCAGGAGGGAGACCAGGGTGTCCTTGGGGTCACGGCACACGTAGACGACCTTGCAGCCCGACGGCGGCGCGGCGGCGACGACGGCTCGCGGCAGGAGGTCGAACGGCGCGTGCGTCGCGAACAGCCGCGGGTCCGGGAGCGCGTCGAGGTCGGGGGCCTCGTCCGCCCTGTAGAGATGGTACTCGAGGAATTTGACGCATTCGTGGGGGCCGAGGGAGTTGAAGGGGTGGTCGCCGGCGGCGTCGGCGGGATGCTCTCTCCGGTGCACCGTGGCGTAGAGCAGCGCCTTGATCCACGTCGTGCCGGACTTGGGCAGGGTGGGGACGACGATGTCCGAGGGGCGCGCGGCGAAGAGCTCGTCGGCGACCATCGTCCCGACGAGAGGCGTGACGCCGTTGTACCATCCTTTCTCGTGGCGGAAGAGCTGGAGGTAAGAAAGGCCTTGGCGGCTCGGCCATGACGACACCAAGTCGGTGCAGCGCTGGTAGAGCTCCTTGTAGGTTTTGGCATCATCGGCGTCTTGGTTGGCTTGTGAAGGGGAGGAGGGTTTCATGGAGGAGGAAGAGTACATGGCTGTGGGAGAAAGAAATTTGCTACGATAGCTTCTCGTAGTTTGCATATATTGAAGCCGATTCTGTGGATTGTCGGTTAGGTCACTGAATTTGGCAGTGATGATGTCGATCATAATAGCCACGAGCAACACGAGTTATTTCTTTTCAAGGGAAAAGGACAAAAATGCAGGGAGTAGGTTGCAATAATCAAAGAGTTTTGATGGTTGCAGTTTGGGCCGGTCTACAGTCACGGCCATGGTGGCAGGGTAGACCGATATATCCAATCCTCTAAGAGCAAGTTTAATGGTACAAGCAACTACTCGCTCTAAATCATAAATAGTCAATTTAATAGCTAATTTAGAACAAGTACAATAGCAGACTATTATTCAGCTATACACATATTTTAAAGATATAAAAGATGAGAGAGAAGAGCAGCGGGCTACAGATCCCTTAGCCAGTTGTAGCACGGACTCTAAGACGCAGTGTGTATATGACATGTGGGACCATGTATTAATAGTATAGTGAACAACTATTGTATCAATTGGCTATTAAATTAGCTATAGATGATTTGGAGCTAGTAGTTGGCTATACTATTAAACTTGCGCTCATACAATAGTTACTTACTACACTATTAATATTAATACCTGATCCCACTTATCATACACATATTTCATCTTCGAGACTGCTTGGTTTAGTTCCACAAAATTTTTCCCAAAAACATCACATCGAATCTTTGGACATATGCATGGAGCATTAAATATAGATTAAAAAAAACTAATTGTACAGTTAGGGGGGAAATCGTGAGACGAATCTTATGAGCCTAATTAGTCCATGATTAGCCATAAGTGCTACAGTAAACCACATGTGCTAATGATAGATTAATTAGGCTCAAAAGATTCGTCTCACGGTTTTCAGGCGAGTTATGAAATTAGTTTTTTCATTCGTGTCTGAAAACCCCTTCCGACATCCGGTCAAACGTCTGATGTGACACCCAAATATTTTCTTTTCGCGAACTAAACAAGGCCATAAGGAGAGACAATGATATAAGGAGGACATTAATTTAAAGAACAATGCATGTGCCATATACTCTCTCTATCCCAAAATATAACAACTTTTAGTCCTAAAGATTTATCTTCAAATATAACAACTTCTTCCAATATTCTGTTCTCAACCAATCACAACCCTCCATCATTCAATTTTCTCACCTACCTTCACTTCTCAACCAATTACAACCTTCCCCCATTTAATTCTATATACTTTCTTAATACCCGTGTCCAACTCTTATAGCGTAAGTTTGATCTATTAAGTTTTACCCATAATTGTGATATCTAGCCTGTTTTATGCTTATCAATAGAGATAGTGTCAGAGTTTCAGCCGATCTTACCTGATTTAGCTATTTTTATCTCCTATACTTACTTGTCATGCTAAATCCGCCCTTTATGCCCTTTATATTAGTATCTCATTGCATTAAAGTTATATTAGGTTTATTATTTGATATATCTTGCTTGCCTCGATATCTTGATATAGAGTGGTATCAGAGTATTAGCCGATACGCGCTAGATCTATCTGATCAGCTATGCTATAAACATCTATATAATCTTTGCTTTAATATATATTTCGATTTAAGTGATTTATACTGTCTCGGTATGGCAACCGATCTATCCCAATCACTTAGTTTAAGTATATATCGAAGTAAAGACTATATGATATTGATATCTACAGCCGATTGAATAGATTTAGTTTTATCTTATTTATTAATCATTGCCGATCGATTCAAATATGACATCGGCTCGATGATAAATAATATGTCATCGGCAACTAGCCGATCGGCTATCGTTTATGGATTTAACCACGATTTTTCTTGTCTTTATTCTTGTTGATTGCATGATCAAATCAACTGGCATGCTCACGAACCTAAAGGCGAGATTTTGGACCTGCACAGGAGTTAAGCAGATCATTCAGGCCAGTGTGTGTTTTTCGCATTAACAGAGAGATGACAGGCTAGCTATGAAGCAACCGGGCAAGGTGGTTGGCGAGATTTCTACAAAGTAAAAAAATTGAACCCCAAAGATAATTATATTCGATTTTAAAATCTCAATGACAATAAAAAAGAGAGGCATTGGGCGGGTCTTACTGGAGTACAGTGGCAAAGCCGACGATAGTTAGCGGAACTTCTAAAAAGTTAAAAATGAATTGCAATGATAATTATGTTCAATTTTTAGAATCCCAATAACAATAAAGAGTAGGGGACGGACCATAGAGGAGTATAGTGGCAGCATTTGACGGGACTTCTAAAATTTAGAGTAACGAAACTCAACGTGACAATAAACTCTAAAAGCTACGATGTATACTTTTTAAAGGTTCGAGACTTCTAAAAAGTAAAAAAAAATAATAAACCCCAATGATAAGTATGTTCGATTTTAAAATATCAATGACTATAAAGAAAGGAGGCAACGCGTGCCATAAAAGAGTACAATGACAAAGCCACTAACGGACTTCTAGAAAGTAAAAAAAAGAATCCAAACGATAATTATGTTCGATTTTTAAAATCGCAATGATAATAAAGAGAATAGGTAGTGGACGGGCCGCAGAGAATTATAATGACAGCATTTGACGAGATTTCTAGAAATTATGAAAATGAAACCTAACGAGACAATAAACTCTAAAAAATATATAGAGAATAAATAGAAACAATGGTAGATCGAGCAAACAAATAAAGAAGGAAATGACATAAGTAAGGGTAGCAACTAGCAACTGGTGTGACTTTTAAAAACTATAAAATTAGAAACATAAGGATGATATAAGGTTTGGACTTTCAAACTCTTAAGACATGTAGATAGCTATTTAATAAATTTTAAGTAAAATCATATAAAAAATATATATAATTTTGTATGGGTGCTAGCCTTGCCTGGGCCATCAAGCTAGTTGCAATTATTTAGGTATAATTCCGTTCGATGCAGCTGCGGCATTGTTGTCTTGCTGATCCTTGAGCTTCTTGAACAGCTTGCGTTGCACGTGCTGCTTGAATGTGCGCGGCGCGAAGAGCGGCTTGCCGGCGCCGTTGGCGAGCAGCTCCGGCAGCGGCTGCAGCAGCACGGACTCCGGCGGCGGCTCGCAGAAGACGACCCAGGAGACGCGCACTGCGTCGCGGCTGACGAGGCTGCGGTGGAGCACGCTGGTGTACCGGCCGTTGGTGAGGATCTCCAGGGCGTCGCCGACGTGGACGACGATGGTGCCCTGTTCGGAGCGCGCGGTGACCCAGGTCCCGGCGTGGTGCGCCTGCAGTCCCGGCACGCCGTTGTGGAGGATGAAGGAGAGCGCGCTGACGTCGGTGTGTGCCTCGACGCCGACGGCGAGGTCAGGCCGCGGGCACCTCGGGTAGTAGTTGATCTTGAGCTGGAGAAGCAGGTCGTCGTCGACGCCGTGCTGATCATGTCTTCTCAGGCGCCGTTCCAGCGTCTCTTCTGGCAGGCCGAGGCCGAGGGAGAGGATGGCGAGCAGCTTGGACGCGAGGGTCCGGACGCGGCCGCCGAAGTCGCGCGACACGGGGACGTACTCCGGCGGGTTCGCCGGCCAGAGCGAGTGGTCGGCGAGGTGGTCCGGGTGGACGAGGTGGAACAGGTAGTCCTCCCACTCCCTCTTCCCGCTGGCGTTGGCGGCGAGCTTGCTGCCGTACCCCTGCAGCCGCCCCGCCGCCGGGTCGTTGGCGTACGCCTCCTTCTCCGCGATGGGCAGCGCGAAGAACGCCTCGCCCGCGGCACGCAGGCGGTCGAGGACGTCGCCCGGGAGGCCGTGTCCGGCGATGTGCATGACGCCCCACTCCTCGGCCGCCGCGCGCACCGCCTCCACGCACGCGCGCCTGCCGTCGCCGTCGAACGCGGAGATGTCGACGACGGGGATGCGGGCGGCGTCGGCGTCGTCGGACGCGGCCCGGGCGACCTCCAGGGCGTCGCCGAGGTCTGTGCGCTCCTCCTCCAGGCGGACGTACTCCGGCGGGATGGCGGAGACGTCGCTCAGGCTGAGGGCCTCCACTCTCAGCTCCACGTCCGTCATGTCGCCCTCCCGAAGTAATTAGTCTAGTGGATGATGAGCTGCGTGCGCTGCGCAATTACTCGATCGGCGGCCGGCCGGCGATGGCGAGGCAGGCAGAGCGCGGGTAGATTTAGCTTGTTTGGTTGCTATCCTGAGCAACCTGCCTGAGCATTTTACATTCCTGAGAGTAGCCTGAGCTTAGATAGCAAAGTTACCTGGTTAGGCATGTCTCCCTGAGAGTAGTGTGTTTGGTTGATGCCCTGAAAACAAGCCTGAGGGGATACAATGGTCAGGTGCTGTTTGGTTCAATTTGTGCCTGAGATTATACTTGCCAAATGTTAGAGAAGTGGAGATATTAGGCTTTTATATTCATTGTGATTGCTGTTGTGTATATGACAAATTCACATATTGTTGAATATGCAAATGGCAATAGGGAAATACCGAATAATATATTTAACATTGAACTTCCAGCCACATTTGTCAAAAGTAAAGAGACACAAAGCTATCGGGTTCTTAAGCAGCACCGTTAGCAAATTAGCATGTCACAGCATGCATCACCACAGTATCTAAAGTTAACAGCAATTGTTTAAACACAAATAGTGTAGCAATTGCATAACCAAAAGGGTGCAACAAAATATAGACCCTTGCAAACCACGCATATACCCGGCGCTGCCGCTGCTTTGCTTCACCCATCCATCGGTGCATGTGTACGTTGTAGACTTGTACTTCCTCCGTTTTAAAATGTTCGACATCGTTGATTTTTTAGCACATATTTGACCGTTCATCTTATTCAAAAAAAATTGTGAAATATGTAAAACTATATGTGTACATGAAAATATATTTAACAATGAATCAAATGATATGAAAAGAATAAATAATTACTTAAATGATTTGAATAAAACGAATGGTCAAACACGTATTAAAAAGTCAACGGTGTCAAACATTTTGAAACGGAGGGAGAAACGGAGGGAGTAGTACGTATTAGATCACCCGACAAATGGATAGATGCTCCCTTTTATGAAAAATTTATATGTATATATTTATATTTATGAAAAATTTTGCTTTAGAGCTCGCTAAGGTTATCTGAAAGGAATAAGTTCACTTGGTGACCTTCAAAAGTGATTGAAATCTAATCCATGACCCTAAACCACAAAACCGGATATTTTGACCCCCAAACTATGGAAACCGGTGCAATTGGACTCCCTCGGCGGTTTTGGAGGGCAGTTTCGCTGACGTGGCGCCGACGTGGCGGTATTGACCGGGTCTTCTTTACACGTGGCGTTGATGTGGCGCTTAGGTGGCATTTCAATTAAAATGTTATACGTGGGACCCATTTGTCATTCACACACACAATTATGGGGCCCACTGACATGTGGGCCCCACACGCCATCTTCTCCCTTTCTTCTTCCTCCCCTCCCTTCTCTCTTTCTTGCTCCCTCTCCCCTACAGCCGTCCGCGGGGAGCGAGCGGCGGCGGCTGGAGCTGCGGCGGCGACCGTGGGCTGGAGCTGAAGCGGCGGCCGCTTGCCGTTCCTCTCGCACCACCACCACCCACACCACCCAGCGCCTGGCATCGAGACGTCATCAGCGGCCGGCATTGAGACGTCGGCGGCGGCCGAGCGGCGGCGGCCCGCGGGCGGCGTCGGGCGGGAGAAGCAGTGGGAGGACGAGGGGAACAGCGGCGGGCGGGAGAAGCAGTGGGAGGATGAGGGGAACGGCGGCGGGCGGAAGAAGCAGGCTGCGGCGGCGACTTCGACTTTGACTCCTGAAATGGCGATGGCGATGGCGGCGTGGTCGGCGGCGAAGCGGCCAAAGAGGAACTCAGATACCTCGGCCGCAGCTTCCCCTCGTCCTCCCTCTACCACGAGCCGCCGCTGCCCTCGCCCGCCCGCCCTCCTGCCGCCGCCGGCTCCCCACGTCCTCCTGCCACAAGCTGCCGTGCTCACCCGCCCGCCCTCCCGCCACCGCCGCCGGCTCTGGCCCGTCGGCCCCCGTCCCTCAGTCGCCGCTCGCACCGCCGCCGGCTCCCCTCGTCCTCCCATTGCCGGGCCGAGCTCGCCGTACCCCGCCTCGTGTGCCTCCCGCCGCCGCCGCTTTGGTCTCCTCCGTCTTCGTCACGATGGAGCTCAGCCCGGTTGCCGCCACCGCTCGCAGGTCGCCCCGCCATCTCCGCCTGCCGCGGGAGAGAGAGAGAGGGAATGGCGAGGAGAGAGAGGGAACTGAGGAAGGGGAGAGAGAAGGGACACGTGGGTCCCACAATCTATTTTCTGTGTCATTGACAAATGGGCCCCACACATATTTTTTAATTCTAAATGCCACGTCAGCGCCACGTGTAAAGGATTGCCGGTCAATACCGCCACGTCTGCGAAACCGCCCTCCAAAACCGCCGAAGGAGTCAAATTGCACCGGTTTCCATAGTTTTGGGGTCAAAATATCTGGTTTTATGGTTTAGGGTCATCGATTAGATTTCAATCACTCTTGATGGTCACCATGTGAACTTATTCCTATCTGAAACCTCCACATCGAAAAGACTGCTCGTTTGAGCCGCACACAGCGACTGCGTCTCTTAGGTGGTGTTTGTTTGTATTTTTTTTATAGAAAAGATGAAGTTAGGATACGAATAAAAAACATTAACGCTTAACTAATTAAGTTTTAATTATTGTAAATTTTAAAAAATAAATTTACTGATATTTTAGATTAGTTTCAACGTATGTAGAAAGTTTGAAAAAAAAATCATTTAGCAGTTTAATATACGTGCTAATAAAAATCAGGATAGAATTTGCATCTTAGACCCTGTTTAGATAGGACTAAAGAATTTGCATCTTAGACCCTGTTTAGATAGGACTAAAATTTTTAAGTTCCTATCACATCGGATGTTTGGACACTAATTATAAATGTTAAACATAGACTATTAATAAAACCCATCCATAATCTTGGACTAATTCGCGAGACGAATCTAATGAGCCTAATTAATCCATGATTAGCTCATGTGATGCTACAGTAAACATTCTCTAATTATGGATTAATTAGGCTTAAAAAATTTGTCTCGCGAATTAGCTTTCATTTATATAATTAGTTTTGTAAGTAGTCTATATTTAATACTCTAAATTAGTATCTAAATACAGGGACTAAAGTTAAGTATCCAAACACCACCTTACTCAGAAAATAAACCTTGGTGGCATTGAGTGGACTATATGAGTCACGCGTGACTAGGGGTGAAAACGGATCGGATTCGCACGGATTGTAGTCTTTCTATATCCTATACCATATTTTTTAATCAGATTCGGAGGCGGTGCGGATAATGTGCGGATGCGGATGCGGAGCGGATTATTTCGGATGTCGGAAATGGTGCGGAGTCGGTGTGGACTCGGCTCGGAAACGGATGAAAATAATCGGATGTGATATGTATATACAATCGATATAACATCTTATCATTTGTGCAATGAGCAACAATGAGGTACCAATATCACAATTCACATGACTCACGAAAGCACCGATCACATCATAATATAATGTCAAGTTGTTAACATTGACTTGTCTTCTGTCCAAAAGCATGTAATCGACACATACAATATTGACATCACGATATATCGCATTTAGATAACACGCAAGACAAAAAAGTTCCACAAATGTTAGAAAAAACAGTATCACGTAAGATATAGAAGTTCCACACGTAAGTCAGGGCGTTAGGCGGCGACGTGGGAGGACTGGAAGAAGAGAAGTCTCGATGAAAAAATTGGTTGACGCGACACCGACGGAGTCACGGACTGAACTCCTGGATAGATTGATGGATAAGGTGGACATGGATGGGCTGAATCTTTACACGATGAAAATGCTCATGTCAAATGGGCCAAATTGAGTGGTTATATGGGCTGTGAAATTCGGATTATCCGCCAAAACGTTTATCGGATAATCCGCTTAAAATAACGGATAATCCGTATCCGCCGGATATTACCGATACCATATCCGCATCCGCATCTACATGCAACTATCCACATCCGCATCCACATCCGGACAGATATCTAAACACCCTTATCATATCCTCACTTCGGACAGATTCGGAGCGGATCGGATCAGATAATATCCGCTCCGTTTTCACCCCTACGCGTGACGCGTCCACGCGCGAATTCGTGACGGGATAAGAAGGGGACTGGAGCACCGGACGCCTCATTCGTCTCCCAACTTGCTGAAACGTAAAAGCAGAAAAGGCGCCATCAAGTGTACTCTTTCACTGGTGGAGAAACCATCTTTGCTCGGTCGACCCAAATCCACAGTAGTCCCGGTTCCATTAAAAACCAGGAGTAAAAACGATTTTTAGTCCTGGTTTATAAGAACAACAGGACTAGATGATCTTTATTCCCGGTTGGTGTTACTAGATGATCCCTGTCAGACCGTGTCAAGCGCCTAGGATCTTTAGTCCCGGTTTGTAACACCAACCGGGACTAAAGATCTAACTTTAGTCCCGGTTGGTGTTACTAACCGTGAATAAAAATCTAACATGTACTATATAATCTCTATTACTTATCCTCTTCTATCGTCCACACAACAAACTCTCTCTATCTCTTTTTTTCCTCTCTAACTCCCTTCCTCTTTCCTGCCTTATCTCTTTCTTTTTGGATAGATCGAGCGAGAGCACTGCCTTATCTCTATCCAGATCGAGCGAGAGCGAGAGCGGGTCGGCGCGGCGGTGCGGAGGGCCGCGCGGCGGGGCGGCGGCGAGGCGCGGAGGCGGCAGGCGGCGCGGCAGCGAGCAGCGGCCTGCGCGGCGGCGCGGCGGCGTGGAGGCGCGGAGGCGGGGGGCGGCGCAGCAGCGAGCGGCAGCCTGCGCAGCGGCCGGCGCGGCGGCGCGGAGGCGTGGAGGGCCGCCGGCGCGGAGAGCGCGGCGGCGCGGAGGCGGCTGATGGCGTGGCAGCGAGCGGCGGCGCGGCAGTGGCCGGCCGGCATGGAGAGGAGGCGGCAGCGGCCGGCCGGCGTCTCTGTGAATTTATTTTTTTTAGAATTTGTGATTTATTGTATGATCCTGTGATGTATTGATTTGTGTGTGATGTATTTGCGATGAATTTTGTAGAACTTGTGATGTAATTTGATTTGTGTGCAATTTTTTTTTAGGATTTGTGATGTATTTGATTTGTGTGTATAAGTAACT